GGCTTTGCGACCCTAGCTCTCCTAGATATTGGGCGATTTCCCCTTGAAAAATGACAGTCTAACATTTTATGAAGGATGCTCATCCTTATCCAAGTACTGACAATTCTCCCAAACTGACATCTGGGTTCTCGACAAAACTATCGCATATACACTTAACTGTGTATGACTACTCTAAGTGCAGTAAAAGAATTATGTTCTTTATCGACGTGGCAAGCAAATTGGGTACCTTTTCAGTAAAATAGGTTTTATTTTACTGAGGATGCCTCTATTTACTTTTCTTTGATGCTAACTAATATGAATGGACTGACTTGTGTAAAGCTGATGACCATTCTGAACAATTAAAACATATTCATTGTGGATAACTATATCTATCCAAAATTGGTTAGAACAAGTATTGTTATACAAGGTAGCACTAAAATGAATATAAATTGTGGCAAAAAAAATTGTGATTAAATATTCTAGAATAGCTAAATTCTGCGAGTAATTAATTACTTATTTTATGAGACCCATAAAGTACTACGTTTTATTACCACTTGCAGGGGTGGAACAATACTGAACTGTAGCTGTCAATGTATAGTTTACATGAGTAGTCTGAGTTGGTTACTGTGGAAATGGCGTACAAGCCCTGGTAGATCTGTCGAAAGCTATTAATGTGTGTGGTATATATGGAAATTAAAAACTTATATGCATGTAAATAGATGTTTGTGATTAGGTGTGTGCGAGATGTGGCATGCATATACGAAACATTACACGCAGCTATTCATGTGTTGTCCAACTCAAAATGAATCCGTCACTAAGAACATGACCAGAAGGCAACGTTTGAATGAGAATGCAATAATTTGATACAAATGTTATATAGAAGTATGAAGTTAACCGTGAACACTAGTCTATAAAGTATTATTTAAAAAAAAAACAATGTGACTGTTGGTTTTATTAATGCTGAGGTGAGAATATTTTAGTTTTCACATTGAAACATTCAGCAGGTAAAGGAGTAACAGGTGGGCTCACGCCAAACCTGCAGGAAAACACAGTTTGACTTGAATTTAGTGAGTATTGGTCAGCATCTTTTCAGTTGGTCAAATTGAAATGTAAGTGAGCGAGATGAAATTATCTGTGGAACTAGCATAACAAGTAATATAAATTTGGTGTACCCGATATTTTATTTGATTATGATGAAATATTACTAATCATGCAGCTTGGAACATTCCCAAAGTACCGAGTTTTATGAATCATATTGGAACATTCTTACAGATTAAGCCAGTTAGTCCATGAAAATGTGAACTGTGCAGGAATGATGGAGATGAGAATTAATACTTTCGTGTGAGATGTAACTACTTTCTTCCATGTTTAACTTGTAGCTGACGGAAGTAGCAAAGAAAAACAAGATCTTTGTGATAGTGAGCTTCCACGGTCGGAAAAAATAAGTTAGCACCTAAGCAGTATTGGATGTATTATGGTCACCTGTGTTGGTACCGAACTTTTAAGTCTTGACTTGATTCCCATGTCTTTTACACTGGACATAGGATATTTATAACATCCAGATGATAGTTGAAAGAATGCGGCAAGGATCCAGGATAGCTCTGGACCTCCGTGACAATAGTGACACCCTCGAATAGCACAGTCCTGGAGTTAAGTCATGCTTGAGGATGCCTGCATTTACTGCAGTCTGTAGGTAGTAGTAATTGTGTCCTACAGGCCATTTATTGAAACCATACTTTTACTTGTGTCCCATACATTTATGGAAAAATATCCTGCCATGCATAGGTGTTGAACAAATGGCAAAATCTAAAGACGCTTCGTTACAAAACTAACAAAAACTAACATTTTGTCCCAGTGTTGGCGCAAACAGAAAATTATTTTGTGATATGTTTGTTACAAGAAAATACCATTCACTTATATTTATCTCTCAAATGACACCCTTACTCAGTTCCTGCCTGGTATATTATTATAAATACTTATACAGTGGACACATCAGATAGCCCAAAGTGACCTTGTTCTGACACAAACAAACAAAACTTTTGATTAAATGTTAACAATTACTATGTTCGGGAGTCATACTTGGTCCATTGTTGACTGTACAGCATTTCTGACTCACCTCATATACCTGAATGATTTTTCACCTAAACAATTTCACATTGGAAAAATCAAATAAATGCAAAGCACAATTTGTAAGTTTGGAAAAGATGTTCAAAATTGTATTCGTTCATTGTAGAGAATATTTAAAATGGCTTCTCTGGAGATGAAGACTTTGAGGAAGGGCTCTTGACAAAAAGCCTTTCACTCTATCCATTCATTAAAAATATCTTCATGAAGGTTTGAGTAAAAGGCAACTACCTCTTTTAATATCTTGTTCATCAGTTCTCAGAAAGAGAAAACAGTTGTAAATTTACAATTTATGTACTTAGTCTGTGGTTGTCATTATCAATTAATGGAGTCAACAATCACGTAAAAAGTCTCAATTTTGAGTTTTGTTTCACTAGTTACCTCAACTACCGGTTCATCGTTATCATCTGCCATACCTTTTGTCATTTTTCTTAAAAATGGTCAAAACCATACAAATTTTTTGCAGTTCCATGGTACTTTTCAAACTTGCTTCTGTGAGCCTCGAGAAATTCAGATAATGATTTCAATAGTGCAACAACTGTAACCAAATTGATTGTCTCTTATTGAAGAAGATTGTATGTATTTTCAAAATGATATTCCAAAATGCTGCCATGACGAAAATTTCCAACGTTTCCCTAAGTTTAACAAGTGACGTTGCTTATGCTTTTGTGTCATCGTTCTGCTGTAATCAGCCATATTTTGTAGAACATTCCAGTACGTTTTGTATTGGTGTGACAGCTTTGAAGTGCATCAGACTGAGATGATTGCCTTGTTTACGTAATACTGAAAACACATGAAAAAACGCGATACATTACCAACAATATGTTCATAAAACATGCACTAATGAGCAAACTTAAGTAGCTTATCTTCTTCTGTCTTTATGTTGTCTTGTAGAGTTAACAAATATAACATCTCGATTTTTGGCACAATTCTGGTCCTATTTCTAACCAACAATTCACCATTTTAGCATCAACAGTCCACAAAACAAGGATTACATGATGGTATGGTTGGCATAGTAAGTATTTGCTTATTGTGATCCTCTCCTGGTATATTTTCACGAGTACTAGCAGTTTCAGAAATAAGTACAAAAATGGTGGATGGTGAATGAGTAGAAGTAGCAACCTGAACAGATTCAAAAGAAGTAGAGCTTTCACCAACAGCCTCAGGAGCAAAAGTAAAATAATCCAAAGGAGTGGAACTAGGAGTCTCTGTATTCTTAGGACCGTCGAAGAATAGACTGATTGGAAGAAGATTCATAATGATGGCATCAATTTTAGCCTTGCGCTTTAGTTTCTGGGCCCCACTCAAAGGTTTCTTCATCATGCTAGTTCTTGTTCTTTCCAATTGCACAGCTATATTTTTGTTCCTGCTGAGAGAAAAGTACAGAAATAAAGAAATCTTTTATAATTTAGTGAACGAAAATAGGCTCATCTCTACCTATAAGAAGGGCTCAAAACATTAAAGAAACAACACACTCAAAATGCAAATATATATATCCTTAGGTTGGGTGGATCCTTTAGAGAGCACGGGCTCGACACCATCGAAGCAGTTGTTAATCCGCCACTTGTCATGACTACAGAAAAACATTGGCAAGTTTGAACAAAGGAAAGATTCAAGATTAGTAGAGTTTAAGGCTAAGCATATCGTGTTCGTTTTGAACAAGTAAGTTTCTAAATTTCCTTTATTGTATGAATAAAGATGTGTTTATATACTATGTTATAAAAGGATAAGTTTATTATATCTACATATTATGCCAGTATTTCCTATAATAGAAAATAAATAAAGGTCAATAGTGATCATGGACAAAAAAGAAAGCCTCAATAGACCTCCAGCGTGTAAACTCATTACCAATCAAACCAAATGCTAAGATCACGATAAGTGATATTTTAACAGTATGAACTAGGAATAACATATAAGTTTGTTTGTTTGTTTTGAAATTCGCCCAAAGCGTTTGTTTGTTTGTAGTTAAGCACAAAGCTACACAAAGGGCTATCTGTCCTCTGCCCAC